TTTTTTTTTTTTTTTTTGCATTAACGTGACGGTTCTGGCCCGAGGGAGGGCCGCGGGCGCTGCGGAAGGCGGGCGTCGGAGAGGAGGGCAGAGCGCGGCCCCGGGCAGGCCCGGCCCCGGCGGCGGCTTGGGATGCGGTGACCTTGGGGGGCCAACCCGGAGGTTTGGCTTTGAGATAACACTTTTGTTTCCCCTGAGTTTGAAGCCGCAGCACAGTTACAGCGTGATCCTCTATATTTGAATCTTGCTCTCACCGCGTCGGTCTTTCCTAGAGGTGTGGGCAGGGAGAGTGCAGGTGGGCGAGGGCAGCTCCCCGGCCGCCTCGCCGTGTTTTACTACTCATAAACGTGTGGAGTTCAGCAGTGCAGCTAGCTCCCGTGCTTGCTTTGCATTTCCTGGGGGAAGCTTTTGCCAAACCTCACAGATCTAATGGTTTCCAGCCCACGTGTAACCATAGATACATTAATTTTTTGTCTCTTCAGCCAGAATTGTTTCTGTGGCTTTTCTTATCTTATTTTGGCTGAAACAGCTCATCTCTCCTTCTCATGTCTGTGTTTACTCTTCCTGAGTCTTTATGGACAAATAATCATAGCTCTTTCAGTCTTTGTTTTGTTAAGTTATATTTTGCTCTTCTATAAACTTTAATTTTGTTGATCAGTTTCGGAGCTCATATATCCCCACATTACTTCTCCCTTAAACCTGGGCTACCAGAATTGCAGCCAGCTCTGGAGGTCTTAGCTTGCTGCCCTGGTGTACAGGGCAAGTGTGTGTTGATCGCTGGCACCTCTGCTCCTGGAAAGCCCACTGCTTCTGCCCAACTGTAGAGTGAGTGGGAAGGGGACTGAAAAGAACATACTTAGTATAGAAGGGCAGATAACTGCATTAGAGACATCCATCTTGGGAATGCACACATACGTAACACACGCCGCTCTGTTCCCCACTGTTACAGGCAGTTGGGAAGATTAAAGAAAAGGTACCATGTGGCCTCTTTAAAATATTAGTCTCTGTGTGGGTGTGGGGGCACAGTAGTGGCCTGGCCTCCCTCCAGCCCTGGCTGTCATGCCTGCTTGCAGCCCTCTTGTACCAGGGATCACAAGGCTGCTGGCCCTTAGTACTCACTTTATCACTTGCCTACTGAGTGCAACCAGAAGAGATGGTCTTTTCAGCCTTACTGTCATGAAAAAATGTTTCTGAAAGAAATAGTCATGGTATAATTGAACATGGGGAAGAGTCTTTTTTCACCTAGCACTGTTCCTTATGACCCACATACCGAATTTTTTTTTTTTTTTTAGCCCATCAGAGCAGAGGAACATCAGTATGTCCATTGGGAAAGAGATAATCCTCCATTCGGAAAGGTTTTCTTAATATTTGGTACAAACTCTTGCAGCCTTAATTTTAAAAAGGCAGTTATAAAAATGGCAATTTGTGAGGCAAAAAATATTTCCCTGGTTGTAACTGGACCTTAAGGCAAGTCTTTAGCAAAGAATTAGGGTATTGTCTTTAAAATGTGTGTAGATGAGTTTGTTTATGATATATTTCATCATTCTTCTCCCTCTTTCCCAGATCAGAATTTCTCACTCCCGCTATCAAAACCAGTAGGTAGTATTTTAACTTCCAAATACTCTCAATTTATGGAGACTGTGTCAATGTAATGACTTAAAAGTAAATTGCTCCTGGTGCCTTGACAGTACTTGATTGATATTAATGCATGGTAGTATTAGTGGGAATTATTTAAAGAATTAAAAAAAATAAAGGTGACCATGACCTAAGAATATAATAGATGAGTTATAGTGGTTACTGTGGAGTGGCTTAGTATGGAATGGCTTAGAATGGAAGTCTAGTTTTGAGGTGAGATTTGTATTGAGTTCCCTCTTGTCCTCCTTATTTTTCCCAATTCTGGGCTGTTCAACAACATGAGAGCTCTAAGGTTGTGTTAGAAAGGTTCACTCCGTTGAAGAGAGTCTCTGCTTACTATGCTGCCAGCACGACGCTGTGTTTCGTATTGTTCCTTTGCCTCCTCTCAAATTTTGTAGTGGTGTTGGCTCTCTGCTTCAGTAATTTCTGTTTATGTTTAGTGTCTGGATACCGTTGAGGCTACATTAGCAGTATATAGATTAGAGCACTCTTTGGGTTGCTCTAACGCATGCTGAGGAATTGCATTTGTGTATTTGTTCACAGTAAATCACAATTTGTCAGTAGTTTATGATGGAATTCAGAAATCTAAAATCTGTTTGGGTATTGTCAAATCGATGCAGCTTACATTAAGACTAAAGCCTTCATAATACGTATGGATGCTCTAAAATTATGGGGTGATGTGGGGGATAAAGAGACAATAGAGTCCTTGTTTTGGAGACTTGAACCCTTCTCTGTCACCCCTCTCCATATTTAGTGTTTACAGTAGCTATATCTTTTATATATTTTCTCCCTTATCTAGACAGAGGTCATCACTATAAAACTACTATGTAATGCTTTTATTCATTCACTTGTTTCTGTTAATGTTGTTCCAGATTTGTGGATGCTATTTTTCTACCAGCTGTCATCGCAACACCAAATTTTATACTGATCCTGTTGAAGCTGTAAAAGATATACCTAATGGGGCAACTATACTTGTTGGTGGTAAATATTTAAATTCTTTATGGATGAAATCACATGTTCTGTTAATGAGATACTTTTTACTGTTCTACCATGTTTCTTTTAATAATAACTAATTTGAGAATCCATATCCTTGAATGGGTATTTTAAGCAAGGGATTTCCTATTCTGCTAATGAGGGGCAGGCTCTTTCAGTGAGAAAATCCTAGTTTGTTTCTTAGGGGAGGGAAAGAGCCCAACTGAGTGAAGTGTAGGACTTTACTTGTGCCAGTTTGAATGCAGAAAATCAACTTGGGCTTTTTCAAGTTAGCACTGTTAGCTCAGATGGTGAAGAAGTAAAATTGGGTTTGATTATTTTTATGGTAGCATTCTCTGTGTACTTTATCTGCCTAGTTGCTGGGTCTCTGTGACCTTGGAGAAATTACCTACCTAACCTGTTTCTGGCTGTAATAAGTGAAGATAATACTTCTCTGTATTACACTAAATAGTTTTATGTAGTATTTCTAAAAGAATCAAAAACTTGTGTCATACTAATACAAGGAAATGATCACCTAATTTGCAATTTATTTACTTATAGCAACTTACAGCAACTTAGAATGATTTCTGAATATTGCTCAATAATCCTGCTTGCCCTGACTACTGTGCTCATCTAAACAAAGCAGTTTTCTGTGGAAACTTACCAAGAACTACTATGTTTGGCAAAAATAAGATATATGTCCTTGGAAAGCAGATATGGTCTAGCAAGTTTAGGCTTTGTAATGGATAGATAGCCATATACGGACGGTAGAAATTAATAGCCTTAGGTAAGATAGAGGTGGTAAACCAGCGAGAACCATTCTTGTTATTCAAGAAATTGTCTAAGAGAATCTGCGCATACTCTGAGGAAAAGTACAAGGTGAGAAAGGCTGTGAGTCTTCCACCCAAAGACCCCCGAAGACGCCCACCAGGAGGCAATGCACAGGTGCAAAGATAACAGAAACTGCTGACACCAGCCTCTAGAACTAACCCAGCCTTACTCATGTGCATATGGATATATGTGTTGTGTAATCCATTGAATATGTATATCCACACTCTATGAGTTCCTGGTAAAATGTGCGGTGGGTGTGCAAGCTTTCTGGAGAAAACCTCTTGCATCCCGGTGCCAGAGTATGCATACCTGCTTTATAACTGAGTTGTAGAGTCCGTTTCCGCAAATCAATACTGAGTTTAACTGTGACTTGAGCTTTTGCATATTCTAGATGATTTCCACAATTTCATCCTGTTCAATCTACTGAAAGAAAAGTAATATTCTTTATTTAATAGGTTACAATCAATTTTTAGTATTGAAATAGTGTATTTAATGTTGCAAAACATGGGAAACCTCACTGGAGATGTGTAATGAGGCAAAATGCTTTCTACGAAGAATTATTTTGTTGTTGTTGTTGGAACAAAGGACCTGAGGCTAAGTGGTTGGGAAGGAGATGGTAGTAGTTGTAGTGGCCTAAGACTGAGGCCCTCAGATGTGGCATGGTATTTCATTTTAGGCACACTGGGTTCTTGCATAACAGGTAGGAGCATGAGGCAGCTCAGCCTGGGTGGAGATCTGGGTTACTCTACTTCCAGTTACAGGTTTTCCTGAGAGTGTTAAAATTCACAGATTTCTATTACCTAACTATAGGCTAACCTGTATGTGAGAACTCCTCCCTCTTCCTGTTTGACATTGTTATGTGCAGCAAAAAACTGAAGGTTAGCTGGGTAGAAAGAGAAGAAGGAATAGTGGGTGTAGTGGTTAGGGCATGCCTCAGGGAAGTCAAGGTCCTGGAGCCCTTCCCCAGAGGTCATTTGTGTGTGACTGATGGTTAAATAATGGCTTTCACCCAAACTGAGTAGCATCTAGTGACTGGGAGACTCCAGTACTAGGATGCAACTCTTTCCAGAAGTGTTGGTTTATTTAGTCAACTGAGGAGCTTGTTCTACTCAGAAGAGATTTTTAATTAAAACAGTACACATTGTCAGACTTCTGACTAGTCTGTGTTCCTTCAAACGCTTGCTACATACTCAATTTTCTTTTATGTAGGTTTTGGATTGTGTGGGATTCCTGAAAACCTCATTGGGGGTTTACTGAAGACTGGAGTAAAGGGACTAACGGCAGTCAGTAATAATGCGGGGTAGGTATTCATATGCCTGTGGTTTAATAAGTACAGACTAAATATTCCATCCATGAAAAGTCTGTCTTACTTTTCATCATAAGAATTTTCATACTAACCACACAGCTTTGTTTTGAAAGTGTTATTTTGAAATGAGCCCAGAAAGTACAATATGTATACTGTATGTATACTCTGCTTTGTCAGGGAGCAATTGTCACTGTTGTAGATGGTTGCAATTATGTGTATTTATATATATTTAACTGGTTGACTGTAACTGAAAATTCTGACTTAGATGCTTTAAATGCAATATCAGTGATTTTTTTATGTGTGTGAAGTTCTAAATAGGGATTTTTTTTTCTAACTACAGTTTGATGTTTTCTGAACTTCCTGTTGTAATTCTGTTACTTTAAAAAAAACCCCAAACAACAACAGTGGAGAATATTTATAATAAAAGCATGGAGAGCCTCTCTAATGGGTGTTGGAAATTTTGGTTTATTTTTAAAAATGTTTTCCTATTGAGAAGTTCATGTGGGGTTGACAGTGAGGGTAATTCTTTTACGTATAATTTCTCAGCTTCTTCTTACCAATGTTAGAGTAAAAGAGACAAGTTTATGTGAGCCAGAAAGGTTGTTTGGGTATAAAAAAACTTTATTCTTCATACAAAATTAAAACAGATATTAAATCTTGCTCCTTCAATTCCTCCAGCCTTGCCAAAGAAGTGAATTAGGTGGGATTTATCTAATAATGCTTTATGCTATTTTCAGCTGTATTGTTACATCTCCCATATACTTTGTCCCTAAATTTGCATCCTAATCTGTTTTGGTTTTAACCTCACTGTATTTAATGTAAGTTAAAACCAGAACACCATTCAAAAACCATATATTTAGTTTCTACATATATATATATATATATATATATATATATATATATATATAAGTCCATGCTTCTGAGGCTGAAGTTTACAATATTTTGATCTTAATTTTTTTTTCAGGGCTTCATGCTTGCCTGTCTTTCATTGGATAACAGATATGATTTGTATTGGTACTTGGTACATACACAGTCAAACTCAAGATCCTTAGACTCTTGTGGGAAACAATTTCTGCTGGATGAGAAAAAGGAGAAAGAGACAAATAATTTTGTGTGGAAGGTTCAGTCACTTAAAGATCATTTCAATTAAAGATCATCCATTTTCCTTACCTATTTCTGAACCACACATATATGTAGATAGATTGCAGAGATGCTTCTGGGAGGGAGATGAGGGTTTGAATGTGAGAAACAGTGTAGAATAGTATGGAGAAGATGACATTTTGTATTGTATTCTGCATATAGTTGGTGGTGTTACAGGTTAGAATTAATTTTACTTGAAATAATACTGATCCTGAAAATTCTTTAGACTTTGAGGCTGGAGTGATTAATATAAAATGTTTGGTTGTTGGCAGGAAAGCAAAATTTAGTTTGTTTTTTCTTGAAATCAGTTTTCCATGAACATTCATGGAAGTCTGGTAAACTCCTTAAAGAATAGTATAATGATTTGAAAATGCTTGAGGGCATCTAGGCTTTTCATGAAGTCTGGTTTTCAAAAATCCTGGTTTTGTTCTCGTGTTGAACAGTATCATTTATTTTGAAGTTAAATTAATAATAAAATATAGTCTCATCTGTTGTTTTTATTTGTATTGCAGTTATGTGGAACTTAGGCCACTGTAGTTTAGTAGAGTTTGGGAACCAGGTTAAAGCACAGATGTTGTCATTAATAAAGTCAGAATCCTCATCACAGTGATTGATACTATTTAATCATCTTCTGCTTCCATGGCAAAAAGTATGGTATATTAATAAATTAATTTAAAAACTGAAAGTAGCACAGCAATCATATACCCACAGCAGTAGTATTTAAAGGGTGAAATTTTCCTGTAATCTTGAGATGTCAATTACTTTGTGGAATGAGTAATTTTTCACTTTCCAAGTTGCCCAATGATTCAGTATGTTTTGCCTTGGTGCTTTTCTGCTACATTTGATGTCTTGCTGTGTTTCATCTTCCTGACTGCAGCTGTTTTCTCCAGCCCTTCCAGAAAACAAGGGGTAATTGGTTGTGGTTAGGTGTTTTCATGCTGCAGTGGGGTTAGCAGGTAGCTTGTAATTGGAGCAGGGAAGTACATGGACAGACAACCTATTCTGGAGAGTATGACTGAACCACAAAATGTGTTACAGAGCTATCTATTTAATAAACTAAAATAGTAGCAATGGAGACAGTGCTTCACTTACATCAAGGCGAAGGCATTAATTAGGATGTTCTGAACTGTTCTTACCAACCCTTTTAGCTGGAAAGAAGGCTCACCAAGCCTAGAAATGCTTGTCAATGTCTGGAAATAACTTTAAAGGAGTAGGATGTTCACAAGTTCACACTTTAACGTTCTTTGCTGCAGTGTAGCAGGAGGGAGATTCCTCCTGCAGATTCTCCTTGAAATCATGTAGTTGATGGCAAGTAAAGTTCTTATTTTGGCCTTTGAAAGGCTTGCCAAGGACAGGTTGTACAGTAGTGTATGGGTGCTCTTAGGCACCCTAATTGGAAACACCGTACTGCTGAACTTAGTCTGTTGCGGTGCATTATGGTGGTGCATACACTGTGTGTTAGCTGATGAAATGGCACCTTTAAGAGTAGTTACTCTTTTGCCAACCCAAACATGGCAAAGTGTTTGAAAGAGAAGCAGTGCAAATATCCAGTATCTCTGGTATTTGCACAACTTGCTGCAAGGGAAACTGGAGCTTATGAACCAGGGAGATAGTGAAAGATAGCATGGTGAGTGGGTGTGCTTCTAAAATAGAACCTCTCACACCTTCCCTTATAACTTGTTTTGCAAATGTTGTTTGTATTCTACATACTTTCTTGATGTTATTTATAAGTCCTTTAAATTTAGAGGATTTTGCCTCAGTAAGTTACTAAGATCCATTTTATTAAATTTTTGCTGCATTATTTAAATTTTGTTCACTCCATGTGTCAGTAGATCCTTATTTTAAACCTTAATTCAGTAAATTCCCAACATAGTTGTGATTAGTACACAGTACCTTCTTGCACATGGCTGTTTTTTTCATCTGATTTTGACTTTCTGGTATTTTGTTGCAAACTGATTTCAAGTTGCAGTGGACTTGGACGTTTCATGTTGGCTTACACAAAGACTTCCCTAATGCAGGCTATCAGATCTGTTGTTTCAGGATCTGTGTTGCAACAAATACTGTGTCCTTGTCAACATAGCCAGATATTTAAAATGAAAGTTTAAGAAATTGGCACCAAATTATTATTTTTATTAATTTTGCTTAATGAAATTAATAACTAATTTTTGCTATAATCACATTCTGAGATCAACACTTTCATTCTGTCTCTACCACCTCAATAGTCTGAATAAGTACTTGGTAAAAATAAAGTCCATTACCCATAGTAGCTGCACACACAGTCTGACGTATCAAATGAGCTACTTCTTCTGGGCTTTGTCAGCTTTTGAGACTTAAATATGCATTCTTTTTGAATGCAGTAGTGTTGAACAGTAGGGTTTCACTTACAGTAAAAATAGACAAGTCATAGTTAGTATCTTAATTACTAATCACCTGGATCATCATCTAAAAGGAGACTGACATCACACTGTCAGATTATCACAGATTCAGACTGAAAGGCATTACCAGCCTTTTCAAACCTTTTGTCTCCGTGCTCTTTGTGAAGAAGTTATTTTTCTGTTACAATGTTATATATTAGTAAGGAGAAAATAGCATTGAGGTAAGCATTTGAACTGTTACTCATAATACCTGAGTGCACTGTTATTTAGTTCTGTTGAACATACTACTCTTGTTATCCTAATGGGCTATTTGTAGTCGCCAAATCTCCAGATAAGGAACTACTTTGGGCATCAGATGCGATGGTAGACTTACTGCACCCCATATTCTAAAGCACCAAACGTACTTTTAAGTTCTTAGCAATTGAATATTTTGAATTTAAGGCAGGATTGATAAATGTTATATATGTAAAGGTTTAAGGTTATCTCATTTTTCAGTCATTGCTTTGAATTGTATGTTTCTGTTAAAAAAAAGATGTCTGCCATCTTTTCCACAGCCTCCGTGTTTGTTCTTTCATATGTAGCTCCTATAGCTTAATTCCATCCTTATTATTACTGTTTTATATATATATATATATATATATATATAAAATGTTACATACCATCCTTACTTTTATATATGTTACATATATATATATTACTCATGTTTATTTAAAATATATTAAAATATATTGTTAGGTAGAACTTGCATTCCAAATTCACAAAAAGTTGAGAAGTTTTTTCATATAGTATAAGATGTCAGTGGTTTTAATGGCATGAATTTGACAATCCCTTGACTCAGAGAGCTCAAATGTAACTGAAGAAGTCTATGAGGGACTGGAAAGAAAGCTTGTATATGCAAAAAGATATGATCAAGATAATGCTTACATTATCTTACATTGTGTGTGTCATTTTTATATAAGAAATCCTTTAAACATCCTAAAGTATACTTTAGGAAGTGAAATAGAAGGGCATCAATGAGGTAAAATCCTGCATATGGCAAGTTGCCAAAATAATGAGGGAAGGTATATAAGACATTTCCAGTGTTAAACTGATTATTTGAAGCAGTTTACTTTTTTTTTTTAATCATCTCCATTTTTTTGTAAATAATCTAATCAAATGATTTATTACAGGTGTTAAATTTGTGAAACTGTGAACTGCAAATCCTTGAAAATCTGACCAGGTCATCTTGCTAATTTTAGTGTAGTGGCTACTTAGGGTTTTGGCAGGGCAAATTGCACTAAACTTTGCACTACATGGAACTATTGAGAAATCAGCTGTGCAGATGACTTTCTGGTTGTGATTACAAAGACAAAATTGGTATAGAACTCAGCATGGTTGAGGAACTGTGTCAACTTGATTTTAGAAAAGGGACAATAAAAGTTAAACTTAGCTTTCAGCCAGGAGGCTTTTGAAGTATGATGCATTCACGATGAAATTGAA